CAACTTTCTTCCAGAATGCACCACAAAAGCCAGAAAAATCATAAAAAAAACCCTCCCCCTCTCGCGAAAAAATAATTGACTCCAGATCCCCCACGTGTGAAATAGCGATAACAATTAATGAACTTTCATTCCGGAAAAACTATTAGCCACGGGGGGTTATTACCCCCGGGTTGAATTCTAATGGTGAATTTGGATTAATTATGCAGACAATTAAGTGCAAGGTGAGCGTGAGATATTGTTAGATTAACACGAGAGATGGGTAATTTCTCTTTCTGGTGTATCGTGTGTTTTACGAACTTGTATGTTACCTCGGATTGAATTGTTTTTAGAGGTAATTGTTGAGGTTGTTAGACGGGTCATGGATACACTCTTCCTCGAGGACTTTTACTCTCGACTCCCGGTGATGAATGAGGGGATTTTTTTTAAGGATTTCGGAGGAAGTGAGATTGACTGGTCGATTAATTAATTGGAGAATATCTCCGGAGGGGTTGATTCTCGAAAAAAAATGGCAGAGATTTTTTCAAGATTCAGTCGTTTTTATTAAAAAAAGTCCTATGATATTTGGCACTAGGGTAATTAGTTGTTAAGGTATTAAATAGCATTGGGAAGAAGAGTTGGAGTTTTTTTTTAATTGTTTCTAATGACGTCTTAATTATCTTCGCGGAAGTTAATTCTACAAAAAAAAATCGAGATAATTGCTATTTTTATAAAATGATTTTTATAAAATGACGGAAGGGTATTCGAGTAAGATTTTAAAAATCGTTTCATAAATTCTTAATTATCCTCGCCACTTATTTTAAGCGAAAATGTCACAAAATTTTTATGGAGATCACGTAGTCTTCCGTGAAAAAATCATATGCCATTTTACACTGAAGTAATTCTTTATTCCCCGCTGAATATAAAATTATATCTAATGAATTCTTAATCATCTCGGAGTGGCTGATTCGGGAGAAAAGTGTCATACCTTTTTCGCTGGTGACATAATTTTAATTAAAAAATCCCCTCGCCATTTGCCACTAGAACAATTATATAATCGAAATATCCAGCACCCCCCCCAAAATCACCAAAATTCGTCAGTTAAAATTCTCCAACTCTCCCCCCAAAATCATCAGTTACCTCCGCACCTATTCCTTCCCCAAAAAGAAATAATTGAACAACTCTTTCTAGCCGACAAAAATCACAACGAAAAACTCCAATGACATTTCACTCTGACCCGACAAACAACCGATATAACGCGAGAAAAATCGAAACGAATTGCCTCAGCCAAATCGCCAAATTAATCAATTAAAATTTCCTCAACCCAAAAATTCAGTAATTAAAATCGCTCACCACCGGGGCAGCCTCCCGATGTTCCCTCCACAGTCCTCAATCAACAATCAACAAATTCAATGAAATACCAATTGATAAATATCAATAAAGCACAAGCACTTGAATCACAAAATCACAAACACTCATCGATTAATCAACCCCTAATAAATTTCCAACGGGTCACGTACCCCCTACGTTATTTACCCCTTAATATTTTCAAATGTTATTTTAAAAAATGGATAATTTTTTTTATCCGAACACGTGGTGTCGGCACTTTCTGGCTCTCGGTGCCACGCGTATCGTTTGCCAGTGAACGCGCGTCTGACTTGAAAACCCTGGAAGCCTTTCGGATTAAACCGACAACACCCGAAGTCTGCTCCTGATTCGTTCGTGCCTCCTCCCTCTACCCTCCCGTCCACCTCCCACCACCCAACACATGTGCTCCCCCTTACCCCCACCCATCGCTTAATTGTTTAATTACATTGTTAATGAGGCACCCCCAGAGAAGAACGTCAAATGGATTAGTTCCAACGTCTGTCATGCCCCCCCTGAATTTAAAAACGAATCGATAAGATAATGAGGTAATTAGCCAAGAGCCGATAGTTGATAAATAATGAGTTTTTGTGCTTTAACTGATCATCTATAATCAAGGATTGATTTAATTTATGGGGGTCTGGAGGGTCTGGAGAAAGCTAGAAAAGTGAAAAAAGAAATTAATCCTGAGATTAATAAAAATGAGAGCCGATATGAGAATCGTTTGATTTACTTTCATTTTTATTTATATCGGGATGAATTAAATCCTTTCGCAGAGGATCTGGAGGATTGATGGAGGAAAGTTTTACAATTGAATCTGGATTCGATCGGAGATTGTACACGCGAGTGATGAGTACTCGAGGGAATTCTGCAGACGCGAATGATGAATAATGTTTACATTTCGGAAATTGATTTTATCGCGTCATTTTTCTCGGTTGTCTCGAATGTTTGTTTTATTTCTCGCTCAGTGGGATTTTACGAGAGGAAAGTTCTCATTTGAACTTAATAATTGATTCATACCGCCTCCGACACAAATAAAATCGTCTTGATTCGAGGAGTCAATTTTCTCAAACTTACGAACTCTCGTGTAATAAAATTCAATTATTAATTATCACTATTAATATCAAGATATTTCTCCTATATTCTCATTTCCTCATTCATCAATTATTCTTCAAAATAAAATTCACGGAGATAAAAGTACAATAAAAATTACTGTACCAGCACTAGAATATTATTTTTTTCAAGAATAATAGAAGATAAAAAAGATTGTGAGCCAGCAGTAATTGTTATCGAAATGTTTTATCTACGTGTGACAGGCGGAAGGCTCGTGGGTCACAAGCTCCTTGTGACGAATTGCATTAAAAATGAATTAAAAAAAAATACGATGAGGTCAAAAGCTTGTCCTGATAAAGGACAAACCTGAGGAGGTGGTTGTGCGCGGGCGCTCGCGAGATCGGACTCTCTTTTGCCTGTTCCGTAGCCGTTCGTTCACCCTTGCGGGGGCACCAACCTGGCTTTACTTCAGTTACTCGCTGAGAGACCCAACGCCGTACATAAACACGTACATAAACACGTATGTACCTAGTGTAAGTGACTATGCGCCGAGTGATTGGCCTAAAAAAATTCGAAAAAACCACTCGAAACCGCAAACCAATGCACACCCCCCTCAACCAACGCAACCCACAGTAAAATGTCACATGACATTTTTACAGATAATTTTCACCTCTACAAAAAATGTCCTCACCCATCCCCCGCTAAAACCCCTCATTCCCAAGATAATTAAGCACTTACTGAAATCCGATTGATCACCTCGACTCACGTAATTAATTTATCAGTTATCTCACCAATCACTAGATTCCCGAGAAAAATTCGTGGAGCTTTTTTGTAGTCCAGAGAATTTCCCACAAATAATGTATCCACCAATTTTCCAATGAATCCAATAATTATTGAGTTAATTGAATAATTAACGGTATGTGAGCAATCGACAATTCATCGTGTGAACGGAGTGGTTGACTTTTTTCAATTATTTTGTTAGCGAATAGATTCAGAGGAAGAAGCGATGGAATTACTTTAAAGCGTAAAACCAGTGTGATGAAATTATCCAGAATATTTTAACCGGAAGCGATTGCAGAATAGTAAAGCACAAAAAATTGAGACGCAATTCTATTGAACTAGAGTCGTAATTGAGACAACTCTCTTTGAAATGACAAGGAAGAGATTAAAACACGATAGAACGAACGAGGAGGGATGGAATTGGGATCTCTCACGATGTTTATGTACAAATGTTGGTGGTTTTCCGAGAGATAAAATCGTAAGATCACGATCTGAGGAGAATCTCCCCAAGACGAAAGCATCGACCCCAAGTGCAATTCGTGACACAAGGTGAATCACTTCACGGTCCACTATCATCAGGATTTAATTTGTGGTCAGCAAAGTAATTCTGCATCACGATGCATTATTAAACCATTGAGTGATAGTGAACGTCGGAGATGATTGACTCTTGATCTCTGCGTTATCGTTAAAAAACCCACTACTCCACTTTTTATTTTCGTTTCAACAAAATAACCACAAGGAAGTGCCAAGAAGAGCATTACGTCGTACGAAGTAGGTTTTCCCAGTTCAATTAACAAATTAGTTATCAGCGAATCAATAATTAACGAGTATTGTGGAAAAGGTTTAAAAGCTCGGAATGAAGAATCATCGGATCGTAATAGATAAATTAACTCGTATCCATCTTGAAAAATCGAGAACATCTATTTATTTACATTTTCTCTATAAATTTCCGTGAACACCAGAATGAAATGACCTATTTATAAAGTCGAAGGATTGTTTTAAGAGTATCGAGGACCCTGTGTGACCATTCTGATGGACACAGGGTCAGTGACAGCATCAGTTGGACTGGACCTTTGCTGCTGGTGAGAATAGCTCACCTCCATGTCAATCTCATCGAACTCCTCCTCCTCGTCTTCATGAGTATCAGATTCCTCTTCCTCTTCTCCCTCACCCTCTTCCTCTTCCTCCTCTTCCTCCTCTTCTTCAGATCCCCTGAACTAATCCCAAAACCACAATTAATCTACCTAATTACCCCCTATTAATGAACTAATCAATCATTCAAATCCTGGAGAAAAATCGATTGCTTCTCTCACTACTTTTTTTATTGAGGTTGAAAATGAAATCTTACGTCACTAGCTGATTTTCCAATGGGTATTTGGTCACTACCAGCAGTTCTAGTGCGATCTTTCTAGAAAAATGAATCGATCGATGAGAAATTGATGATTTTTTCGAGTGTTTGGGGGTTAATTACCCAGGATTGATGAAGACTCTCTAGTTTGTCGACTTCTTCTTCGTCATCACAAGGTTTATCAGCATTAAACCAGAGAGGATCGGTGGATCTCGGTTGCAAATTGGGCCACAGTGGCATAAACGACATTTTTGGAGCAATTTAAACTGTCAATGATATTGTTTAGGTCTCGACCAGCCGAGGTAAACAAAAATGGCAACATGAGACATGCGCACCAGATTTTTTTTAGCTCAAGGAACTACTCGCGCCCTCATTGAAACGTTTGAAGAGTTAAGTTGATGATAAGGTGGAAAATTTCGGAGAACACCAAAAAATAATAATTATCTCGATAGCGTTGCAGTTTATAGCAAAACTGTAAAGAAATTTTTTGTAGTTTATAGAATTCTCCACAAAAAATTCGAATGATGATTTCCTCTCAAATTGCTTCCTCTTGAGATAATTAACAAGGAAACGGAAAATCACAATTCGGTGAATCTTGAGAAACTTGAAAATCGACTCACTAATGCCAGAATTATCTCTACACCGAGTGGATTCACGACAAACTTCTATAAGACTTTATTGCTGCTGATAATACCCTCTCAAAAAAACTCTTATCTCACTTTTTCCCTAGCCTACCCCTTTCCGTGCTAATCACTGATGACCGTGAAAAATTCAAAAACCGGAGAACTCCACAACTCGAATTGATAAGTTATGGCAATATTAAATTAATCAAAAAATCATCGTTATCGTAATTAGAGCCCTCTCATAGCCTCGACCGATAATGAAAACAGCTCGACCCCTAGCGTTCTCTCTCGCCGAAAGTTCAAACCATTTTCCCCACTTCTCTCCTAAAAAAAATCATTTCGGAATTCTATCTTCAGTGGCTATCGCGTCCGTAGTAGAAAGTCAGTCTGTTAACCACTGGACTCGCTCATACAATACCATAAACCCCCGTGAATGCAAAGACCACAGAATAAATAATTCGAAAAAAAAATAAATAATACCAACTCACGACCTCGACAGGATTATTTATTTATACTCCAATCAGTGACATAACCTGACCTGTCTGAAGGAGAATAATTGGTGAGCATACCTATGATTATAATTACCCCACCGAAATGATAATCATTGACCTTTCAAATGACATGACTCGATGGCTCAAGGATTTATCTCGTCATTGAGCCAAAATTTCGACACAATATTTAAAAAGTTGAGGGTTCAATCCGTCTAATCTGATAAAATAGAGCCACAAATAGGATATATTCCTTCCCAGGAATTTACCCAGCCTCTCCCGGGATAAATTATCATCCTTGAACTCGCCCATAAATTCTCGACCCCATGCAAAACTCTGGTTCATAATAATTTGCGGTTATTGATCCAATTGATATCAATGAAGTTTCTCCAGTGTGATGACGAGGTAAAAATCATTTAAACGGTCATCTCGTGATAATATTCGGGGAACTTTCTATGGAGAAAATAGACGAGTTCATTCACTTCATTCTGGGGATTATTGGAATAATCGGGTCACGTGGAGCAATTAAAAGAAATTCACACCGTTTTCCTATCTCAAAAATCGAGTGTTCCGCGATTCGCGGGCAATTATCCACGAACGACGCGATAGATTTCGACGAATCTGCAAAGATTCTGTAGAGGAGTTTTTTTTTTTTAGAATGAGACTAAATTCATTGAAATTGGTTCATTAGGTCAGGAGCTATTGACGATTGACCAATAGAGTTGATTTCGTGATTTCTGTGATCTAGTGGGAAAAATTGTGTCTTTAATCAGTAATACTAAAAAAAAATGCAAACGAAAATTCCCTGAGTCGCTTTCTTATTCTCGGGACCGTTGATTATTCTTTGAAATAAAGTTCAGCCGTTGAAATTATATTATAAAATATAACGATATCGGAGATCGAAATGGAATCGTGTTATTCTACCCTCTCGTATTTCCCTGCAATGTCCGGAATTTCAATAAGAAATTCCAGGAGTTCATTCCCTACATCTAAGATTATCGATTAAAAAAAAAATGTGGTGAATGGCAATGACGTAACACAAGGCTAAACTGCACGAGTAACAGGAAAAAAAATTATTCCTTTAATTTTTTTCGTTGGGCAAAATAAAAAATTCGTAATATTCCCATTTCTTTCAAGTTCGAGTCTAATTTGTGGTCGAGTATCATAGAAAAATATGAACTGATAAGACGTATTTTTTTTGCTGATTATGCACCACAATGTTTGTATTTGTATCATTTTACACGAGTGATTATGCGAGAAAATTTAAATGCTGATGAACTAGCGTCAGCTATTCATTGACTCTACATTTTCCCCGCGTCTACTGAAAAATGACACCGAATTGATAATTTTTTCTAAAATATCTCAGAAACCGAAAGCAATAACAAAATATTGCTAGTAATGTTTGTTCTAGAGCTAATTCAGAGCTGCAAAAAAGGTCGTTATAAAAATTCAAATATCTCTAGTGGATACCGCGATATTTCTCGATGCTCGCGATATTTATTCGCTTGCGTACCGTATATTAGGACGTAATTGTTTACCGATCATTGATTACCGCAAGAAGGTGCGAACAATGTAGGTTTATCGATTCAATATCGATTATGATATCAGTTATGCGATAGAGTGAACTGAGTCGAGGTTTCCGGAACGAGGGAAGTGTTTATCACAGTCTAACGATTTTTTATTCAGTCGAGAATTTTATTTTCAGAGTTAATTTCAAATTAATTCGCTAATAAATTACTTTAGAGGAAAGTGTTGATTACATTTTCTGCCCAGAATTTCACGAGCTACGAAAAGTTTTGCTAACGTTTTACCGTAAGACCCTTCGTTACCAAGATAATTATACAATTAAGAAAGAGTAAAAATCGATTCATTGCAAATTATGTTTCAACTTTCGCATAACTCATTTTAATTATCCAATTATCTCGAGAACGTGTAGTTCTATCTATATTTTTTCTCCTCAATTCACTTGCTCCGAACGTGATTTATCAGATACAGGTGCTGGCAATGAAACCTCAGACGATTAAATTAATTATTGAATGCCTGAATTGTTTACATTACCCGGAAGAAACATTAAATCGACAATTCCATCAATCAATCATTGATTACCCATACATTTATCTCCTAAAAAAAATTAAACCGTTGAAAGAAAACTAAAAATTCCACAAAAAAAAGTTCACCCCATCCCTAGGGCCTGACCATATCATTTGGGGGAAGAAAATTATTTTTTTCTAAAATATAATTTGTCCTTCAACCAGTCATTGAAGGAAGAATACGTCATCTTCCTCGCAATGCAGTGGAAATAATCAAAAAATTATAAAATTCAATATGAATTTTTCTATCCCACTAGATTGAAACCCATTAAAGGCATTCTGAAGCCTTTCTAATTCTTTTCGATCGATTGGGAGACAAAAAGTATCAATCAAGATGCGAGATAATAAAAAACGTTTCAGGGTACTGGGGAAATTTTTTCGTCCATTCAGTACTGTTACTCGAGACAAGACATTCCCTCTAGTTAACCTGTAAATATATCGAGGACACGAACTTTCTCGTTACGAGTAACAATGTTTCCTGATTTTTATTATGAATATGAACAAGAGAACTGAACAGCTATATTAATTAAATAGTGTTAAAACGATTGGAGTAAAAACTTCCTAGGTCATTATAGAATTCCTAGAACTACTTCTTGCGAAAATATTAATTAGGTCTCTAATATTTTTCTCTTTAAACTACTAGAAAGGGATGCGAGATATAGGATTGCGCAACGCATAATGATTTCAATTCTCGAACTAAAATAATTGGAATAAGTACATTATAACGAGTAATCCATGAATAACGAACTGGAGTAATAATTAGAACGATTTATGAACTTGTCAACTCTGAGGAACGATAATCCAACAGTTTAAATTCGCTCAATTGATTTCAATCGTTTATTCTACTCCGAAAGTTTGAATTTCTATGCCACACACCGAAACTCACGTTTTTTATTCCCCAATTACGGCACCAATACGTGAATTTGAAGGAAAGAGTCATAAGAGATTATTTGTGGCCAAAGAAATTTCCCATACAAAACGTATCCAACATTTTTTTCCGCAGATCCTAATTATCGAGATAATTGAGCGATTGAAATAAAAAATGGCTGAACATATCCACCACATGATGAACACTTCGGGTGGTCATGAGGATCATCACGGGATGGACCACGCCAGTGAAAATCATCACATGGACAGAGGTGCCATGAGTCACGCTGCAATGGACCATGGGGCAATGGGACACAGTGGAATGGATCATGGATCCATGGGGCATGCATCAGAAGCAACAGCTGATGTTTGCAGTAGTAGTGGACATGGGATGCACGGAATGATGTCGGTGAGAATTCTCCACGATTAAATTTAACTTCAGAATATCCTAAAACTACTCATCAACTCTACCCAGTACCTCAGTCATCACCTGGACAAGCAAAAAATAATCGCAAAAGCCCAATAATTCCCTAAAATTCCTTGCAGATGGCTTTCCACGGTGGCTACTGTGAAACCGTTCTATTCGACACCTGGAAGATCACCTCGATAGGTGGTCTAGTGGGTTCGATGATTGGAATAATCATAATGGCTGCCCTGTACGAGGGCCTAAAATACTACCGGGAATACCTCTTCTGGAAAACCTACAATGCCCTCCAATACAGGAGTGTTTCAATGCCAGCTGAGAAAAATGTCGTGGCAGAGGACAACCGAGTCGTCCAGTAAGTCTGTCATCTCTTCACAATTAAAATCACCAAATCATCGCCACAAAATTCACTCCGCACTTCACGTTTTATGCACTCGACGAAATAACGAAGTGTTTCCCAAGAATATCTCGGAATTCATGAGATCTAGAGAATTCTTTGTTGAATCTTTTTTATAACTCTCATTTCAGCCTTGAAAAAAGGTCCTGATAAAAATTCCGTTATCTCTCTTAGATTTCGGGATATTCATCGAAGACTTCATCGAACAACAATAAAATGTCTCATCATTACGTTTTAATTTTTATCATATCTGATTTCCCATTCTAGCATGGTCGGCGAAGTTATCCATAAACAACCGTGAGTCAATCATAAATCAGTAGAGCATGTTGTATTATCTCCCGTAATCATGTTCCACCAGAAATAAAGTTGCTGAAAAAATTTTACGTCTTGAAAAACTTCTCCCAGTGATTGGAAACATCATTTCGCATCTTTCGGTGAACTTATATCTCTTGACAATTATTCTCCGTTCTCATCAACTTTCAATCAATTTTTCCATCGCTGAAGGAGTATCACGTAAATTGTTCTTAGCAAAAAGCTGATTATTTCTCGTCGAATCTGTTATATTATTTTATCCATAATTGCATGTCTTGAAAAATCCTGGGATTATAAAAAAAAAAATGATGGATGAATGTAAAAATATTGTGTTGCAGGCCGACGATGATCTCTCAGATGCATTTCTTCCAGACATTTTTACATATCGTCCAGATAATTCTCTCTTACTTCCTCATGCTGATCTTCATGACTTACAACACTTGGTTGTGCTCAGCTGTTGTTCTGGGTGCAGCAATAGGTTATTTCCTCTTCGGTTGGAAAAAATCAGTGATTGTCGACGTAACAGAGCATTGTCATTAATCAAGGCTGCAATCTCCGTGCCATAACCGCACAAACTCATTAGGCTCATTAAAGTGTCCTGAATGTCTCAAACAAGACGAAATAAAAGTCGTCTCCAAATGATCGCCAACGAGGCAATCAACGAATATTTTAACGAACGTATTCGTCAAATTCTTCATATATTTTTTTAAATAATAATTATCAATAACATCAAACCAATGTTGAGCAGTATTTTTACACGTCTCTTTGCAGATTGTTGTTTTCCATCTTTTTAAGTTGAAAATTGAGGAGTGAAGTGTCTTTGTTATTCTTTGCTCGAACTAATGGTTAATTTTATGAGGGTCAGAATCTTATAAAATTTAAATTTTTAGTAATTAATGAATGTAAATACTGTTGAGGTTTATGCAAGGAATTGTGAATTGTAAAGGTGAATATAGAATTTTGATATGAACTTCTGGTATCTGAGAGAAAGCTACATAGAAAAATTAAATTTCTGTCATTGGAAAATTTATTTTCGGATTCCAGAAAACGTATTCTTTGTTTTAAAAACCGAGAAAAAGATTTATCTATTTTCTTCAAAAAGGTGATAAATTACTGAATTTATTTACTATTAACGAATGTTTCAGGAATTAATATTTTAAAGTAAAGAACTGAGTCTTTAAACATCTAAATCTTCTTTTTAGAAATCGAAATTTCATTTTTCTGAACAGTTCTTGAATTAGGTAATTTCACGATCATTTAATTTTATGAATTTTCGGTTAAAATTGAAAATTAATTAATTAGATAAGGGTATTACTGTCGAGTGTAGATATGAAACTGAATACATTTCTTTTCAAAGAAGCAGAGTGTTCACTTTATTCCTAACATTCTCCCCGGATCATATAAAATTCATTTAAGGCGCAGGTAATTAACGTAGCCCTTGGTTGCATTCGTGTAAAAAATTGTCTTCGAGATCGATAAAAATATAGACCATTGAATACATTCATAAAAAAACTGGTGATTTTTTTCAAAAAGTTCTCCCTCAATCGTCGATATCTCATGATTAGCAAAGTAAAATTTGAAAAATCTTGCGTCATTTTGAAGATATTTTTCTGTTCTTCAAAATGAGCGCAGCAAAGTTCGAATATCTTCACTCGTTCAAAAGACATCGAGGATTTTTCTTTGAAATTCATTGTTCTCAATTGTTCATTCCGAAAATATCTTTCATGATAAATTTTGCACAATTATGGATTTAATGAACTACTGCTGCATGATTAACGATTAAGTAATCAATATTCGGATAATTTAATCACTCCTGATATGGTCTCTCACTCATAATAACCGTTCGATTCATTAAAGCGTTATTAATTTTGCCACACGCATCTGCAAATATCTGAATAATTTAATCATTAGAAAATTATAATTTACATCACTCGAATTCGATTACAAAAATTAATTTCACAAGCACTAGTTGAGAGAATTATTAGTTCCTGAATTGTACATTTCTTTCGTTGACTTTCGTTATTTAATTCCCAAAAATTTCAATTTTTTCATGAATCAACAGTAATTTTTCGAGTTCGTTAGCTACTATAAGGCAGATACAAATTATTAGGCTAAATACACTTGGATTTTTACTGCATTCCAACTATTAATTGAGCCATTATCTCAAGATAATGACTCAACAATTGTTTTTATTATTTATTAATACTAATACTGCGATTATTCAACGCATATCAACAAGCGCACCACAAGCTAAATAAATTGTTCCATTGATGACCATTTTAATGATTTGCAATGACGATGATTATTCGTTATTTCAGTTCAGACTTTCCTCCATTTTTTTTTCTCGCGTTTCGTCATATATTTCTCCTCAAATGATCAATAAAAATTCGTTCAACTTGAATTAATAAAATTCATCAAAATGATAAATAACGGACACGAATTCGAGATCAAGCATTGAAGTGTCTTATTGTTCCATCATCCGTTTGTAATTATGTACAATTCTTTGAGTAATAAGATTACTCATAATATACCTCAATTATTCAGTAGTTTAGGGATAAAAAATAACAATTTTATTCGTTTCAGGAGATTTCCCGACGCATCTAAGAGAGACATTGAAATTTTCTAGATAACTTTTTTGTAGCTCTCACGTCATTCTCCAAAAAAGGTCTTAAGAAAAATTTCACTATTTTTCTTACATTCTGAGATATTCCTGATAAACAAATAAATTTACTACTGTTCACCTCTTCCCTACTAAATCCATCTAACTTATTGAATTGTGGCACGTGATACCGTATTGAGTGCTGATTTATTCTTATCATAATTTGTTTACTTCTCTCATACCATTACAAATACCATTACAAATATATATTTATTTATAGCTTTGTGCTGCAGGCAGTCTATGCCTGGTTCACAATTCCATTCATATTATTTTGTTATAACACCTAAAAAACAAAAGCTGCGGTCAATTGCGATGCCCTAACATTTCATTTAATTCAGGAATGGAGTGGTCAAACGTCCTTCTGTCTCCACTTGACCTCCAAGTAATTAATTCATTAGCGAACAGGTAAAAAATAAAAAGCCGATTTCGACAATAGATACGTTCTCGACAAATATCTCCGAATATAAAACAGATATCAAAATCGTCCGCAGAACCTTTCTCATAGCCCTAATCCCCCTCTCCAAAAAAGCTCCTACCAAAAAAGTTGTTATCTCCTTCAGATCTAGAGATATCTCTCGAAAATCAAGTTACGAAACTATCGACTTATTGCCCTTCACCCCTTTGCTGCTATATCACGTGATCCCAACGCAATAAATGGACAAAATTTCCATGAATTGAACCCGAAACCTTTCTATCAAGAAAATTAAATTTCCTTTGGTTAAAATCACGAGGATAATTCAATTTCCCGCATCCAAATAATAAAGAACACCTAATTTCGAATGCTTGATTGATAGAACCTACTCGGCACTAGTCATGGGCATGCAGCAGCTGGAGCGATGGGGCGACTGCTGCTTGGACAAATCGACAGTGTCTTCGACAAAAGGGCGTTCTAATTTAGCCTCAAGTTTAGCCCAAGCAGTAACAGCAGCCCCAAACGCTTCCTCTACATTAGTTGCATTTTTCGCTGATGTCTCCACCAACGGAGAATTTCCATTCTCCGCGCACCAGGCGCGAGCTTCCTCGGTGGATATTTGTTTCTCCAGGTCTGGTACATCGACCTGAAATTCCAAAATCGTCAACATCCCCTCCAGTCCTCTCCCTCTCTCCTTTCCATTCCTCTGGAATAAAATCACCAACTTACTTTATTCCCAACGACGATAAACGGAAAAAGTGCCCCATCCTGTACATCAGCGTAATAAAGAAATTCACTTCTCCAAAGTGCGAGATTTTTGAAGCTCGTTCTGTCGTCAACGGCATAAGTCAACAGACAGATATCCGAGCCCCTGTAGAATGGTGTTCTGAGTGTCTTGAACCTTTCCTGACCAGCAGTATCCCAGATTTGAAGAGTGTAGGCCTCACCATTGATTTCGATATCTTTATTCAAAAATTCCACCCCAATAGTGTGAAAACTATGTTCATCGAAGTGATTAGAAACGAATCTATTCATGAGACATGATTTGCCAACACCACCGTCCCCCAGGATAACAACTTTAAGAAGAGTTGACCTGTGGGAATTTCGATTGGAGGCTATGGAGGTCCTAGGAGCAGCTGCCACTGAATTACTCATTTTTCTCCGGATCAAATTCAAGAAAATCCTCAATCCCCTGGCACCTCGATAAATTTTCCTCAGATTATGATTTTTCTTGTTATTCTCACACGTGAATACATCAATAAATTCCTAATTAATCTCTTTGTCTCTTCCGGATTAATCTCAGGCCAGTCCCTGAGTCATTGTCACGCACTGTTCACCCCACATCCCCCCATGGCCCACAACAATGACTGATAACCACTGGTAAACAAAAGAAAATCCTCGAAATTATTTCAACGTTCACACCTGAGTTCAAGAACTTTATCGGTGTGAGGATGAAACATCAGATCCTCAGAGCTCTCTTTCCAACCCTTTGGCGATTGATCTGGTGATATTTGTCGTGTTTTCACTGGAGATACAGTTTCGACACATCACTGAAGTATCAAACATCCCGAGGAACAGAACATAACAGAACAATAAAACGAGGACGAAGCAACGCCCGTGTCCTGACACTCTAGCACGCCTGCCACTAGTTCAGAGAGAAATATGTTGGATCTAGGCTGTATCGATCAGCTGTTTCAAGGACTGGGTGGGATAGACAGTGGGGACGTGATCTACGTCCCTGAAGAGATCATTTGGAAGGAGATAATGAATCATCTAGATGATGGTTTGAATTCAACTCACGCTGAATTCGAAGACATTTCAACTGATTTTTGAACTCGAAATGGAAGAAGAAAAAAAAATATCCGTGTTGTTTCAGTTTAAAATCCCCCCCCCCCCCCTCCCTCCACACCATGTTTGTTATTTGGTGAAATAATAAATAATAATCGCATGTAATAATTCGCCCCCCCCCCGG